GAAGGAAGGAAGGAAGGAAGGAAGGAAGGAAGGAAGGAAGGAAGGAAGGAAGGAAGGAAGGAAGGAAGGAACTGAAGACAGGATCTCAAACACTCAAGGAGAACTTGCACACCCACGTCCACAGCAGCATTATTCATAACAGCCAAAAGGGGGGAGCAACCCCAGTGTCCACTGAAGGATGAACGGATAAGCAAAATGTGCTGCATCCATACAAAGGAATATTTTTCAGCCTTAAAAAGGAAGGAAATTCTGACCCATGCCACAACACGAATGAACCCTGAAGGCATTGTGCTGAGTGAAATAAGCCAGTCCCAAGAGGACAAATACTGTGTGATTCCACTTACAGGAGGTCCCTGGAGGAGTCAGATCCATAGACACACAAAGTAGACGGTGGGAGCCAGGCGCGGCGAGGGGAGTTGGGGTTTAATGGGGCCTAGTTTCAGCCCGGGACGGCGAGAGGGTTCCGGAGCCGGATGGTGGGGATGCTGCTCAACACTGTGAATGTGCTTAATGCCACTTAAAATGGTGAAGATGGTAAATGTTATGTTATATATATTTTACCACATTAAAAAAAGATGTGACTTTCACATTCTCTGTGACCAAGTTCCATCCCGCGGAATAGTTACCTGGCTCACTGTAACCTCTGTAATTCTTCGGGGTCACCAAGGGGTGTTCCAGGGCTCTTTCTCCAACCTCAAAGACCAAACGTGAAGCCATGGGCACAAGCGAGGTTCCCGTTTGGTGAGGTTTCTTGGGGACAGAGCAGAGCGGTGGGGGCTTCGGTTCCGCTTCCCTCACGTTCCCTCCCCTCGGATGACAAACTCAGGCTCCGTCAGCCAAGGGAGAGACACGGGGAGCGTGGGTCGCGAGCCCAGCGCATCTGGTCGCATCCATCACAGGCCAGTTTGAATCATCTGCTCTTTCTAGTCGCCCACACATCCGCCACCCCCTCCAATTTGGCTGTAACTCTATTAAAGATTGAATATCATCGTTAGAAACTGAATCTCTCTCTCTCTCTCTCTCAATCTTTCTCTCTGCACAGAAAAAAACACCACCACACATTTAAATTTCTACTTTTTAAATAAAGGCCTAAATTTTAAAAATTTCCCCTGAAGAGGTGATATAATCACATGGTTCAAAATTCACAAAGCACAGAAGGGTAGCCCATGACAAGGCTCCCTCCCACCTTTTCCTCCCAGCCAACAAGTTCCTCCCACTCCACGACGACTGTCACTGTTTCCTGTGTCCCAAAAGAGATATTCTGTGTGTCCAGGCAAGTATATTCTATTTTCCCCCCTTGCTTTATTCTACTCTTGTTCTGCATCTGGCTGTTCTCTAACAAGGGTGGCAATTGCTCTTGGCTTCCTGCTCATGCCCCTGTGGCCTTCGGCATTTCTGTGCACGGGGTGCCTGGGTGCCCACTGCCAGCAACCAAGGGCTTTCTGTGGCCTCTCGACCACATGCGTCCTGGGAGCAGCACTCAAGCCGTGACTGATGGGAGGTGGTGGGCCAACGCCGCAGCTTCCTTGCCCCGTGAGTGGAAAAGCAGATGTGTGCTCTGCACTGCGCCCCAGATGTCCCCCAGCAGAACTGAACCCAGTTGCCCACAGTTCACCTTTTAGAAACTGCTTTCCCTTTCCTGCCTCACTTCCCTGTCCCTACGGAGCCTTCCAATTCTTGTCTCAGAGTTGGCCTCTGGGGGGACACAAATGAGGACATCACTAAGTCCTGAAGAACATACCATCTCATTCATAGAGAGCCTTCTCCTTCCTTCTTTCCACCTGCACTGGACTCTCTTGTAATGATTATTATAAATTAAACACACACACCCCACCACCAGTGAGGCTCACTAGGCCAGGGGCAATCTTTTGTATATCCCATATGTATGTCATTCTGCCCACGAACAAACAAATCCTTGAACAACTACTAAAAATGGGATGGATGGGTCAAAGCATCTCTCGTTGTCATCTGGATGGATTTTGCTAACTAGCCCCGTTTTCAATGTATTTCAAAAGCCCCAACAACTTTCACAGCTTTTCCCATTGCTTCCTACCACCCCACCACCCAAAGCAGGAGAGATGGTCAGATGACCTGGGCCAGTTTCTTGAAGCCTTCGAGGGGAGGGCTGAGGTTTTCGGCTTTTCATCCCATCTCTGAAGGTCCAAACTCCCTTGCTAGGGACCTGAGGTCCAGACACCCCTGGATCTCGGTGGGCAGCGCAGAGCCTGAGGGCCTCCCGGCGGGGGTGGGCGTGAGGAGGTTCCGTTGGTTCTGTTTCTAATGCGGAAGGAGAGGAGCAGCACGGTACTTACACCTGGGAGGACGGCAAGGACCACTGTGGCGACCGCGATTTCCACAGTGAGAGTGACAACCATGCACAAGAAGCACTGGAAGACACAAGGGGTGGGTGGGAGCCGGGAGCCTGCTGGGCATCTCTGCCCACACCGCAGGCCACATAACCGCCCCGGTTTGAAAGGACTCACACCCAGTGGGGTAGGGAGGTGTTATTTCCTTCATGTGTCACTTTCCTACATGTTGTCCAGGATGCCGGCACTAGGGTATTCTTAGGAGCCAGCTAACTGGACCCCCATTTCACACCCAGCACTCAGGGAGGCTTAAGTGGGGACTTCTGTTTGTTGCAGATGGCAGGGGCGGTGGGAAGCAGAAAGGCGGTGGGTAGGACAAAGCAGAGGCAGGAGGAGGCGAGAAGCCTCAGACCTGCCAATGTGGGAAGAGGGGTGACACCTGAAGGAGGGGGACAGGTGACAGGTTGGTGGGTGCCAGGAAGAAAAATATCAACATTTGCTAACGTTTCCAATAAATTTACTTGCACAGTGAAAAACAATGGGAAATTTGGCAAGAAGAGGGGAGGTCTTCAAGTGACCCATTAAGGAGAAACCACCTCCCTCCCTCCCGGTGTCTCACTTTCCCCATCTGTACAATATAGAGGTGGGACCAGCTCCAGGGGTCTCTGTGGGTTCTGTGGAACTTCTTGAGGCCAGAAAGGGGCAAGTAAGGTCAGCTCTTGGCTTCACCTATTTCCATTTATGCGTACCATTATTATTATTATTATTATTATTATTATTATTATTATTATTGTTATTATTAAAGATCTATTTGATAATTGAGGCTTTGAGTCACCAGGCTGGCTCATGGCCAGGCTTGTCTGGCCTTGACACAGAGAGGCAAGAAAGTGCAGCAGATACACCCTCGAGGTCTCCAGAGCCCACAGGGGTAAACGGGGGTGCAGGGTTTAGCAATTGTAGAACCCCAGACGAGTGGCTCATGTAACATATTATGAGGGCTAATATTAATATCAATGTTACTATTTCCCTGCTTCTGGGTGTCAGCAAGTCCTAGTGGCTCTATCTTCAGAATCTATCCCAAAAGAAGCTGCCCATTGTCACCCCCTCCCACAACTCCACCAGGTCCAGCCCCCACCATATCCCACCTGGACAAGCACAGTGCCTCTGCTCTGGTCCCCTCACACTGTTCCCCCCATGGACACCAGAGGGCGCCCACAAGCACCTGAGCCCTGCAAGTCCCTTCTCTGCTCAGAAACTTCTGTGGCTCCCAACACAATCAAAAAAACTTTGCTTTTGTGAGTGAGATCTCAGAGGCTTTGGAGGGACAGATATTGAAGGTAAAGCAGATCAGGCTTTCAGATGGGTTGGATGTGGGGTGTGTGATAGAGAGGACTCTGATTCCTCCAAGTTAAACTATGGTGAGAACAGTCTCCATATCATATTAAAAATAAGACAAAATAATGCAGGCACAGAACATGGCTAATAAATATTTGCTGAACATAATTAAGAAAGGAAATGAGAGATGATGGAGTTTCAGGGAGGAAGAGGGTGGGGGCAAGGTGCTCTAAGAGGTGACTAGAGTAAAAATCTCCCTGAAATCTCCAGATTGAAATAACTGGATATTTGTAGCAACACAGTAGAGGAAGGGAAACAAACCAATGGAGGCAGATTAAACATAAGGTGGGATAATCTGCTCAGACAAGAGTCTAAGGGAAATGGGAATGGGGAAGCCGAGAGCTGGATTTTAAAGAGATGTTTAGCCAAGGCTGTGTGTAAAAATAAGGCATGTAAAATCTGAGACATGCTATCTGCCTGATCATGCTCAAAACTTTCATTCCCACACCCCAGGCCACATACAGTAGTATATCATCTGCTGGGGGAAAAATAAAATCAGATCCCTACCTCACACCACACATGATTAAACCCCTGAAGGATACAAGAAAGAGCTCTAAGTGAGACACATCATAAAGGAAAAGATGAATGTATTGATGCCATCCAATGAGACACCGTAAACACTGTAAAATAGGGATTTACAGCATGTGCAGTGAGGATTTGTATGTAAGAGGGGAGTTTTGGGGTCTGCATGCAGATCCAACTTACAAACAAGAGAGTGCCTCTGCTTTCTTTGGTTGCTCCATACCACCTGTCGAAGCCAAGCAGCACCGTGATGCAGCCCATCACCAGGCACAGGGAGCCAGTGTGGAACAGGCATGCAGAGGGCAGCCCGAGGCCTCTTGTGAGGAAAGCCCCGCTGAACTTGACATAGATGCCTAGGCCAATGAGGGTCACACCAGACATCTTTAGAACAGAAATCAGAAATGGAAAGGCAGCTTGTCAGTTGTATATAAATAAAACTCTCCTGGGGGAAGGAAAAGGAGAGTACAGGCCAATAAAATTAGCAAAAACATTTAAAAAATAATACCCGGTGTTGGTGAGGAGGTGGAGAAATATTCTTATACATAGCTGCCAGGCAACAAACTTTTTTGGGGGGGAGGGACAGGAGGACACTTGCAATTCGTATCTATCTATTTATTTATTTTTTATTTATTTATTTATTTATTTATTTATTTATTTATTTATTTTTATTGATCTTTAATCCTCATCCAAAGATATCTTTTCCATTGCTTTTCAGAGAGAGTGGAAGGGAGAGAGAGAGACAGAGAGAAAAGTCAGTGTGAAAGAGACACATCAACTGGTTGCCTCCCGCACGAGCCGCAACTGGGGCTGGTTATCGAGCCTGCAACCGAAAAATGTGCCCTTGGCCGGAATTGAACCCAGGAACCTTCAGCTGCAATTCATATTTAAAACATTAAAGGTTTTATGGTAAAGAAATCTTTACCTAGAAATTCTATTTACCTGTCTATCTATTATCTATCTTTATCTATCTATCTATCTATCTATCTATCTATCTATCTATCT